TTTTTAGGAGGCAGGGGAGAGCATGGATTCAGTTGGTTAAGTGCCATTGAGTCCATTCCAACTCATAGCAGCCCTGTATAGGATTTCCAAGGAGCAGCTGGTGAGCTTGAACTGCCAAGCAACCTTGTGTTTCATAGTCCAGCGCTAATCCACAGCGCCACACCAGTCAGTTTACAGGGCTAGAAAATCTTGTCATATATCACTAACCTCTGGATTGCTAAGGGTCACCTGGATCTCACAGGTAATTCATCCTAGAAGCTTTGTAATCCAACTAGCTGAAGGGCCTTAATCTTGATCTGTCTCCTACCATGATTAGATAGTAGGAGACAGATCCAGATTTCTTTACATCATTATTCTTTACATATATAGAATTCTTTACATCAGGCAAAGAATTCTTCTCAGAAGTCTGATTTATTACTTTTAGTGATAAACCTGGCTAACAAATCTCATTGTCAGCTAAAATCAGTGATTTATATAGGTCTTACACTCTGAAGACTTCTATGCTAATGTTGATTTAAAATGGTCTTTTTTGTATTTCAAGTGATTCCCCCCTAATTGTCACTTCACTAATATTTAAAATATATTCTAGGGCAGATCTCAGTGTGTCAACAACCTATGACCAATAAGCTAAAATGTCACCTAGGAAAAACAGGGACTTAAGAGTGTTTGGAAAAGCTTGGTTAACATTCTGGGGCCAGACTACTCTCAATTCCAGGAACAAGAAGCAATGAATAATAGTCTGGGCCATCATCTGAGTGTGAAAACAGATCCGAAAACACAATGTATAACACGGTCTACATTTTCTCAGAGTTAAGAATTGGGTGCATTGACTACCCACGCTGAAGAACTAAGGAACCAGAACCAAGAGCATTTGGGTCAGGACAGTGGGCATACAGCCCCCACTTCCGAGGTCCTTTCCCTACCCCTCCTCCCTGAGACTGTACAGATACTCTCAAGGCCATCCACTCTGTTCTCACGCCTCATGGTCTCTAGGTGTGTGTGACAGATAAGTTTATGTGTCAACATAGCTGGTTTGTGCCTTGTTTGGTTCAACACTAGTCTAATTGCTGTTATAAAGTAATCGTTGTTGGTAGATGCTCGCCAGTCAGTTCTGACTCATAGTGACCCTATTCTGTTATAACAGAAGGAAATACTGCTCAGTTCTGCACCATCCTTACAACTGTTGCTATGGTTGAGCCCATTACATAAAGTTTAACATGTGATTAAATCCACTAGTCTCAAATAAAGCAGCTTGCCTTCCATAATGTGTGTATGCCTCAGTCAATCAGTTGAATTATCTTTAGCAAAATTGGGTCACCTCTCTTTGGAATTGACACAAATATGGATCTCTTCCAATCAGTTGGCCAAGTAGCTATCTTTCAACTATCTTGGCATAGATGAGTAAGTGCCTTCATCAGTTTGTTAAAAGATTTCAATGTGTATTTATTTCATCAATTACTGGAGCCTTGTTCTTTGCTAATGCCTTCAATGTACCATGGATCTCTTCCTTCAGTATCACTGGCTCTTGATCATATGCTACCTCTTGATAAGGTTGAATATTGACCATTTCTTTTTGGTACAGTGACTTTGTGTATTCTTTCCATCTTCTTTTGATACTTCCCGCATCATTCAATAGTCTAGCATTATAGCCTATTCCAGCCTACTACTCATCCCTCCTTTAACAGAGCCATGAAACAGTCAGTCACTCCAGAACCAAAGTTCTTACCCTACCGTGATTGCAAATGGAAAACTTCAGAAAAAACATTAGGCCCATTTTATTGTAGTGTCATTTGATCTGTGCAGTGGAAAGGATGGCAATGCCTGCCATTCAACACTGTTAAAGGAAAGTGCAGCCAGGGATGTCAAATATGTGCTCTTTATCCTGGGTGGCACTGTAGGATAAGCGCCAGACTGCTAACCACAATGTTGGTGGTTTAAACACACCAGTCACTCCTTGAAATCTATATGTCGGAACTGACTTGATGGCACTTGACAACAAGAACAATCCATTAAAAAAAAAAAAAAAGTGATTGACTCCTGGTCAGTTGCCTGGAGTTGTTCTGAAAAAGACTCTGAGGTCAAGGATTGGCTAAACCAAAAAGATGACAGAATTAATTAGTGATGGCCAGTGCTGTGTATCTGCCATCCTGTGTCATACTACTATTTAGGGATATGAATAATCTTTACATGTAACAGCAATGACAAGACATCATGGAACCGCTCTGTCCTGTCCTGAGATGATTCCATGGAGATAAAGAATTAACTTGTAGATTAAGCATTGAACCATATATTTGAGCTCCCAGACTTGATCAGGTTCCTTAACCGGAGTATCTGAGTTGTATATTCACAAAGCATCTGCCTGATATCCTAACTGAGGAACTGTTTTCCCTTTTCTTTTTTTTTTAACAAGCGATCAAGACAGTCTGATATGTAAAGCTATCAGCATTCAGACATGGTCGTTTTCTTCCTAGCCATCACTAGCATTTTCTACTTGGCCATCTTTCTACATATGTCTCATTTCAACTTGAGATGCACACAAGCTGAAACTAGAGGAGAATGAGGCAACACTTGAACAAGTGCAGACACAGTGTGAATGTTTAGGGCCTGGATAAGCCATGAGGTAATGGGTTTCTTAATACTTTCCTTCCTACACTTTACCCAAAGAAGCCCAGTGGATTGATTACAAACTGGGCTGCTAACCACAAGGTCAGTAATTATAATCTACCAGTTGCTCTGAGGGACAAAGATGAGGCTCTCTGCTCCTGTAAAGATTTACAGCCTCAGAAGCCCTACACAGGGTCGCAATGAGTCGGAACCAACTCGACGGCATACCACAATCACCCCATTCTTTACCCAGACCCTTCTCGTCTCCTGCCAGCACAGAACAGGTACACTAGGCTTTGCTGAATTGACACTGTAAGCCTAACTTCTTATGCCAGCAGTTCTACAGGAGTTATCTCACAGAGGCCTTACAATAATCCTAGGAAGTAGACACTACTTTATTTTTACAAATAAGAAACCTCAAACACAGATTGAGAATTGAGCCCAGAATCTCAATAAGTAAACCTGGAACTGTTTTACTTCAGGGCCCATGCTTGATCCACTAAGTAAAAGAAATACAGAAAAAACCCTAGCTGCCTGCTAAGATCTCTTGTTCAATAGAGGAAAGAGATTTAAAATGACAAATATGACATGGTAATACCATTGGTAAGAACAGGAACTTATGAGACTTTAGTTTGAAGCCTAGCTCTACAGGGTTTTATCTGTGAAACTGCAGACAGCTGCCTCAGCTATTTTTTTTCTATCTGTAAAATGAGAACAATTATAAGGTTTACTTTATCTTTTTGTGAGGATTTAGTGAGATTATATATAGAGAAAGTTATTAGTCCCTGGCATATAGTAAACACTTATTTAGTTCACTCTTATTATTAATTCTCAATGATTTATCATTCTTTCCCTCACTCCTAATTATCACAAACAGTGTTTTATATTAAAGTTGGTTTATATGGAAAAAATTAGTCTGCTTCACAAGAAAATTTCTACCAAATAAATGTCAAGTGTACTAAGATCTAAAAGCCTTTTAAATGGGTCCATTAGAGGGTTTTCCACATATCTGATTTTTTTTTTTCATTTTTATTACGTTTTACTGCAACCAAATGCTGTATTTTACTTTGTCAGACTCTGTATAAAAGCATGTCAAGCATGGCCATGACAGTTGACCCAGCTGTTATGTTAAGTTAGATTTTCTTTTTGACCTTGGGAGACACATATAGGGTTATGATGACCACTGTTCTCTGACTGAAGTCACTCAAAACCTTTATCAAAAAGCAAGACCATCTAATAGTCTGACTGAACTGCCAGTTGGAAGACTGGAAATGCAAGTTTCAGCTACCCAGGATCAATTACCATGATGCCTTAACAAAGTCACATTTTGTTTTGTGCTAAGGTGTTCTCATCCCTAAAATCATCTGCCTCCAACATCAAACAAAACCATCTTAATAGATAATAGGGTGTTGTCATTCCCTGACCATTCTACAAAATGTGCTGTAATCCAAACTTGTCCTCAGATTTTCTGACTACTGTTACAATGCACACCATAAAAAGTTCGCTGAACCAATATAATAAAAGCAAACACGGGTACAGATGTTTATGAGGACACGAAGAGAGGAAAAGCAAAGTTCATGTTTTTTGTTGGCTATTAAAGAGATTTTCAACCCTATGTATCCATGTTGTTGTTAAGTGCCGTCGAGTCGTTTCCGACCCATAGCGACCCTGTACAGGGTTTCCGAGGCTGTAAATCTTTACGGGAGCAGAACGCCTCTTCTTTCTCCCGTGGAACAACTGGTAGTTTTGAACTGCTGGCCTTAAGGTTTGCAGCCTGATTCGTAACCACTACGCTACCAGAGCTCCTTTAGGTTCCTATAAAGATTTACAGTCTCAGAAACCCTATACAGGGTTGCTATGAGTCCAGCCGACTCCACTGCATACCACTATCACCACTACGTGTTCATATAAGGTGCCCTAGTATCATAGTGAATTACAAGTGGGGCTGTTAACCAAAAGGTCAGCAGTTTGATTCTACCAGCTGTTCAGTGGGAGATAATAGATGAGGCTTTCTGCCCCCGTAAAGATTTAGTGTCAGAAACACTATACAGGGTCGCTATGAGTCAGAACCAACCACCACCATGTATCCATATGTCTCAATAAAATGGTGTTTTACTTTCATTTAATATATTTGCATTTAGATATTTTTTCTAGAACTTAATACCTGGATAAGCTCAGTAATGGGCAGAACTTTCCCCTTAACCCAGACATTTGTGGGTCAGAGAGCCAGGAGGAAGGCAGGATTGGATTCTGCTCCACAGATATCTGGTCCAGCAGCAAATCCATAGCCAGCCCCTCTTCTTCATCCATTGGAAGCAACCTCAGGCCTGGGTACTGGTTCATTTCTTTCCTTCCTTGATGGACTTAACAGGCATTTAGGAACAGCCCAAACTTACTCTTGGTGTGGGGCTCCTGTCTTGGTCAGCAAGGTCAGCACAAAAAACATGAAAATCACGAAGACTGCAAGACCAACCCAAAATCCAATTACAATGGAATCTGAAAGACAATTAATATTGGAATTAGTATTTCACTGTAACTTAAAATTTGACCATTCAAGGAATCTGAGCTACTTAGAAAGGCTTGAAAGAAAGGCATTCTTCTTACATAAAGATTATAGCAGACAAAACCTATGGAAAAAAACCCTACTCGATAATCTATGGGGTCATCATGGACTGTAATCGACTCTACAGCAGTGGATATCTTCGGCTGGGTTTTCTAAAGAAGCAAAACCAGTGAAACTTATATGTGTATGTGTATATATATACATACACATACACATATATAAAGAGAAATTTGTATCAAGGTAATGGCTCATAATTATAGAGTCCCAGGTCCCCAACAGAAGAAGAAAGCATGCTTTTTCTGTATGTCCATTATATTGGGAGCAGGCCACACACCCAAGAAAGCATCCTTTCAATTGATAGGCTGCTCCGCCAACCCAGTCAAGTTGACACAAAACCCTAATTATCACAGTCCACCCTCTGTCAACTTGAAACCTATAAACTATATACATAATCTCTAAGAAATTGGTAGTGTAGTGGTTAAAAGTCAGGCTGCTAACCTCAAGGTCAGCAGATAGAAACTACCAGCCATTCAGGCAGAGAAAGATAAACCTTTCTGTTCCTGTAAAGATTTACTGCCCCAGAAACCCTATACAGGGACACTATGAGTTGGAAAAAACTCCACAGCACACAACCACACCACCACCATGTTCCCTTTAACTTTCAGTCCTAGAAAGGGGTTTCTCTGATGGACATACTTTTCTTGACTTGATGTCTCCAAGGCAAACAATTTGCTTGAAACTCAAAGGGCCACACAGTTCACTTTTTTTGGCATGAATCTCCTATTCTCCCAGCAGTTCTGGGTTGGTGTGTATGTCTTTTCAAAAGCAAATATACCAACTCTGAAGGTGGGGCAAATTCTAACTCCTCCTTTAGCATATCCAATCAAGTATAAGCTGAAGGCAGGCTTACAAGCCCTCTGTAATCATAATTCCCAATATTCATTTTCATCATAGGTGTATGAGGGTGAGTCAACAATTACCTGCATTCTGGCTGTAGAATTTATTTTAATCAACTTTTAGAAAAGACAAATACATAATTTTTTGACATAATCTCCTTGCTTTTCAATACACTTGGTCCATCTGTCTACAAGCTTTCATATTCCCTTACTAAAAAATGTTTTAGGCTGAGCTGTGAACTACGAATGCACTGCTATCTGCACTTCTTCATCAGAGATGAATTTTCATCCTCGAAGGGCTGCTTTAGAGGACAAAACAAGTGAAAGTCTTATGGATCAAGATCAGGAGTATAGGGAGGATGCTTTAATACCTCAAGCCAAAGTTTGTGCAGAGTGTCAATAGTGTGGACAGAGGTGTGCAGACTTGCATTGTCATGCAAGATCACAACACTCTTGGATAGCAGTCCTCTGCATTTAACCTGAAGTTTAGGCTTCAGCTTTTTCATGAGCATCTCACTATAATGAGCATTGCTGATTGTTAAACCTTTTTCCTGATAGTGTTCCAATATTGGCCCTTGAGAGTTCCAGGAAACTCTAAGTATCAATTTTCCAGCTGATGGTTGACTTTTGAACATTTTCTTGGTTGACGTTTGAGGATGTTTCCATTCCATACTCTTCCTTTTACTCTTGGGAAACAGACAAAGAAAAAGCAGCAGTTATGTGGGTTGTGGAAGGGTCACAGCCCTAAGAGAAATCATGAGGGTTAAGAAACAGGAAAGTGGTGAGAATTTGAGTATCGCTGTGACATAATGTTGTAAATGTTTCCTTGAAAATGTAGCATCAAAGCTTCCCATACCATTACAGTTTAAGTAGATCTGCTAGTTCACATTCCCCTTTACAAGAAATTTTCCATTCTCAAATTATTTTCACTTATTTCCCCTTACCTGTCACATGACCTTGAACCCATCCTGAGTGTTTCACGGGGAACATTAACGATTCCCCTCATCCTAAGAATACTCAAACCCTCTTGAAGTTAAATTTACATGCTGAGTTTCATGGGCACAGACACTGCATTGAAACAAGCAAAACAGAGCCCCGAGTGCTTCCCAAAGCACCCTTTCCTGGGAAGAAGTTAGAACACAGATGCAATGAGGCCAGATGGTTAAGGAAGTCAAGAGAAGCCTTCCAAAAGGGTTACTAACAAAGCCAAGCAGTCACAGTGCATTCTGGCTAGAAAAATGAGCTACTTAGAGATGACTAAGGGAGTGGAACAAATTGCCCAGGGGAATTCCAAATAGGATGTGTCATAATAAAATAATATTCCCTTATCGTGACCTTTAATGAAATGAAAGCTGAAAGCTAGCAGCTGCACAGTGCTCACTGAAATGATCTTTTTCTTTGTGGATTACCTTTCCTACTCTAGAGGAGGACTAAAATAAACTACCTCATCCCTCTTCCTCTATTTTTCTTTTCCTGAGAATAAACTATGATCTTTACCCATTTGGGGGTTGCATAAAAAACTGGAACTAATAATTAATTTGAAAGAGAGGGTTCAGGGCATGAAAGCCAGCAGTGTCCTCACACCACTTCCAGTTTGAAGGTAGAAGGTTCAGTTTTGTGATAGAACTATCGGCAAGGAGTGATGTTCCGGTACTTGTCTCCATTATGCTACTGATAATAGCCTGTGTAAGCTCTAGCTCTGCTTCTTGTTCTGATGACCTGACTTTTTTTCAAAACTTTTTATTGTGAATTGAATGAAGGTTGACAAGATCATCAGCTTTATTTTCAATCAATCAGATGTTTTGCTTCACCTATATGTTTATACTCCCCCCCACAACAACAATTATTCTGCTTACTCCCTGTTGCTTCCCTTTTACATCTTATTTTTCACAAATAAACAAAGTAAAAATATTAGATGTACACATAAACAAAACAAAAAATATATATTCATTTAAATGTCTAAAGAACACATTTTGCAAGCCAGCTACCTGCCCTTAGGCACACAGCCTTTCTCAGTCCATGGGCTTAGAACCCAGGCTGCTCTCTCTCCATGCCTTCCCCTTTGCCACCATCTCTGCTGTCACCACTTTCCTAGGTAGGATCTCATGCTCCACTTATACTCTTCCTTCTTGATGGTCCTGGGATCCTCCATTCCTGAAATGAAAAATTAACTTCTCCCCTCCTTTTAGTTACACATCTTTTACTATTATAGTTGTAACAATCACAATTAACCCTGATAAGAATTAAATTGAATCATAAAATCCTGTCACCATCATTCTCAATTCTCTTTTGCTAGATTGATTTGGAAAAGAGGATAACTATTCAGTGGGGATTCTACATTATGAGGATACCCCCTCATTCTGAAAATAAGCACGCTCATGAAAGCTTGTAAGCCAGTACTTTGTGCCTTTATATTCCCCATTTTTTACTATCAATATCTAAATTACCCATTTCTATCAACCCAGTGCAAGGAGCTCTGGCAGCGAAATGTTTACAAATTGGGCTGCTAACCTCACAGCAGTTCAAAACTACCAGCTGTTCTACAGAAGAAAGATGAGGTTTTCTGCTCCTGTAAATATTTACAGCCTCGGAAACCCTGTACAGGGTCACTATGACTCGGAATGACTCCATGGCACATAACAACAACAACAATCAACCCAGTGCACTGAGAAAACAAGTTTGATCCTTGATATGAAGAATCCTTCCATTTCAATTAGAATTTTAAGCAACTGCATCTATAAGCATGGGTCCAATTCATCAAATTGTAGCAGTTTATAATTGCTCACAGTATCAAGCATGTTTATCTTCATCTGATGGTGTTTGGGTCAGCTAACCATCCAAGCTAGGTCAAATGGGTACTAGCTTCAAGTTTGGGAGTTCACACACACACCTCCCCACACTTCAGACCCATTGGCTGCTTCATTCTCAGCTCTAGTCCTAAGTAGTTAGGTCAAGGCCCATGGGCTCAGGAGTTCACACATCTCCCTAAACTTCAGACTAGCCAGCCCTGACTCTTCTCTCTCTCATCTCAAGGCCAAATGGTGTCAATGGAACATGGCCAAACTCAGCCCATGTCTTCACTGCTGCATTTCCCCCACTGCTACTCACAAGCTGATCAGAGTAGTCACCAGCAAGCATACTAGACTGCTCGTGGGCGATCTCTTTGAGTTTCAGTCTTAGGAGGGGTTTTCCCTGATGGGATAACTTCTCTTGCCTTGCTGCCTCCAGAGAAAACAGCTTGCTTGGTATTCTAACAGCCTAACAGTCTGCTTTTTCTCTGTTGGTCTTTCTTTCTATTAGAATCTTCTGTTCTCCCAGCCATACTGGGTTGGCCTGCAACCCATTCTGGATTGGTCTGGGTTGGTTTTTCAAGTAGAAATGTCCCACATCAAAAGGTTCTGGGTGGGCTTCAAGATTCTATCTAAGGCCCCATACTCTACAAAGGCTTTACAAGAAGCCTATTTCCCTGGGGAAATTTAGTGGTGTTGTGGGATAATGCACTGGACTGCAAGGTTGGCTTGAACCATAAGGTCAGAGGCTCTTATTCACCAGCCCCTCCTCAGAAACCCTATACAGGGTTGCTATGAGTTAGAATTGACTTGACAGAACTTAACAACAACAATCAGTTATAGGCTGAAGACAGGCTTACAAGCAATCCATAATCATAATTCCTGATATTCCTTTCTATCACACTTATATGTCTATTTTACAATAGTAGGCAGGGGAAACAAATATCCACAAGACAGTCAAACATCCAAATCACAGAACACTGTTGTTCCAAGGTTGTTTATAAATCACTATTTACGTCTATCCCATTTAGCCCATGCATACCTCCCTAACTCTTTCCCTATCTTCATTGTTCATTTACCACCCTCCCTCTACTTGTAAGGGAATATTGAAAGTACCATGAACTGCCAAAAGAGCAAATATATCTGTGTTGGAAAAAATACAGCCAGAGTGCTCTCTGGAATCCAGGGTGGCCAAACTTCATCTTTCATACTTCAGACATATTGTCAGAAGGGACCAGTCCCTGGAGA